ACTAATATTTTGGATTCTTGCTCCATATCAATTCTGCCTTTCTCCTGCTATTACAATTTTGTTCACCCTGCCAATGACTGGTTTAGGAATGGGCTTGAAATACAATTCTAGCCAATGAGGTGAGGGAACACCTGGGCTTTCTGAGAAATTTGCTTTCACTACTCAAAATGTCCCTTCCCTTCTTGTCTGAATTTTGATTTTTTTTTTTTTTTTTTTTAGACAGTCTCACTATATAGTATACACGGGCCTTGAACTTGATTGTGTAGCCCAGGCTGGTCTCCAACTCAGGGGGACACTCCTGCCTCAGCCCCTTGAGTGCTGGGATTACAGGTGTGCACCACTGTGCTTGGCACCTCTTGTTTAAATTCTGGTCTTGTTGTTTGAGTTACTCCTTGTTGAAGGACAGAATGCCTTTAGCTGTGGCAGCCACTTTGGAACAATGAAAAAGGAGCCTGACACAAAACCAAACTCCAGTCCCAAGTAGAAGGAGAATGAGACTCTGGTCTTTGATGCATTACCTACTCCTGGGAATTAACTAACTCCTCACTTCTTGTTATACGTTTTTGTCTTTTGAGGGTCCTTTGGTTACTGACAACTAATGGAAAGTATTCATCAACAAAGAAGTGTGCCGAGCTCCATGTCAACAAGGAGAGAGACAGTGCACAGTAATTTTTGAGCCTATAGCAATAGCATCTCTCAATCATGCATTCAACCAACACTTGATAATGCAAAATGTGAGACTCTTGTGCTCAGTACTACAGGAATATGACAGTACTGTACTGCATTCAAGCCATGATTCCTGCCTCGTGAAACCATACTATCCAATGGGAACTAAAACCTAGAGGCAAGGACAATGACGGCACGAGAACCTGGGATCACATGAGATACACAGTACTTGCAAGATACTGCGGATGCCCCTGGACTTGTGCCTTGACATTTAGGAAAGGAAAAGGTCCACAGTCTATACTGAAAGATAGCTGTCTGTTAGGTTAAGGGACAAGGAACAAGGTGATTGTGAGAGAGATTAGAGGTCACAGGTCTGGTTCAATTTAGGTAAGAGTTGATGGAGCAGGTGTGTTGCAGCTGTGACTGGATTCCTGGAGTTGACCTGACAGTGCCATGCTCTGGGAAGCCCGAGAGGCCATAGCATAGTCTGGCACAGGGAACTAGTTGCTGGGATTGTCTGGCCTGAGGCCAGGTTCACATGTACACTAATTATGTGGCCCTTGGGTCTTTTATGCAAAACAGCTACAAGAGCTTACTAATAGTAACTGTCTGATTTCCCTTACAGGGCAACTGCAAAGTGCAATATACACGTGATGGGTTATTATTTCTTTCACCTCCAGAGATAACTACATATTTACTCATTCTTTGATCTCTGTGTCTGTATCAGTTTCTATCTTGCTTCAATTGTGGAGTCGCTCTTTAGCCTCCCCTTTGATTTCATCAGTGCTCTCCCATACTTGCAATATATTCAGTGTCTTCCCCTGTTTCCTGTATTTCCAAACATGTTCTAATTGCAAAAATTTAAAGATAACTTTAAAATCCTTCCCTAGGTCTTCAAGAGTCCTCAAAACACATTTTCCCCTATTCTTATGGAACTTCTTTTAAAAATAGACTACTCTCTGATTTCTTCATCTTTTGCCCAGGGTTAGGTCCACTCCAATGTTCAATTAAAAAGTCACTCAGAGGTCATTAGTAAGCCAGGCATGGTGACCCGTCTGTAAGTCCAATAACTTGAGAGGCTGAGGTAGAATGATCAAAAGTTTGAAACATAGCTTGCTCCTGACTGAAAAAAGAAAAGAAAAAAGAAATAAAGAAAAAAGCCAAATCTAGGGGTTCATCTCATTCTTGTACTATGATTTAACCAACCCTTGTAAATCCCTGTGTCATGGCTTCCTTCACCCACTTTCTTTCCTCCTCCTCTTTCTCTTTCTTCTGAGTGTTAGGATTCACTAGAACTCTGCTCACCTCAGGCTTTTTCTGCCACCCAGAAATTCTTATAATGTCGTGGCTTCACCAGTTGGACTGAAGAGGATCCAGTGTGACTGACTTTTTCCTCCGGAACAGTTTTCACCTAAATTGTCTAAGAATGGATTTGGATGTTCTGACTCAACCCCAACTTGTATTGTCTTTTGAGATGGGGCCTTGCTATGTAGTTCAGGCTGGCCTTGAACTCATGGTGCTCCTTCTGCATCAGCCTCCGTAGGGCTGGGATTACAAGCTTGTACCACCACATCCAGGTGTTATCTCTTATTTTTTTTGAGAAATGTTTGTTTCTTTGTTGGACTGCTGTAATAGTTTTTCAGGTGATCTTCTTGACATCATTCTGCTTAAAGTGATCTTCCACTGCAGGTAGTTTTCCTCTGAAGACAGATCTAGTCTTGCTTAAAAACTTCCTACTCCTTCAAATTGTTTTAGAATAAAGTGAGACTTCTTATGGTATTCAAAACCCATTACAATCCGGCTCCAACTTAGCTAGGACTTCAAACACTCTCAGAATATGTACACGGCTTCCCCCAGAGTGACCCAAGAAAAAAGAGGAAAAACCCCAAATGTCTTTGTAGCCTAGTCTTGGAAGTCACACACCAACAGTTATGTTGTGGTCTATTTGTTAGCAGTGAGCCACTAACTCCAGCCCACACTCATGGGAAGGGGAATGAACTGCCACTTCTTGAAGGAAAGGGAGATGTATCGAGGAATTTGAGAACTACATAAGGTTTGTCTTATATCTTAGTATCTTATAACTAGCACAGTGTCTGGTACATAGTAAATGTTCCACAGATATTTCTTTTTATTTTTAAAAAGCAAAACAGAAAAAAGGGTAGAAATAATACAGAATTTAAAAAAAAACAGTAAGAAATCAACATGTTAATATATTACATACTGTTATCTTAAAGTAGTTGTTCAAGTTATAAAATGTAAGTATAAAAATGAACCAAAGAATGACAGCACAAACTATTCTTCTTGATGAACAGAGAATTAGTAGTGTGATTATCTGTCTTGCACACTTAAACATACATATAATTATATATCCAGATATTTCTTAATAAATTGTTAAAGGCAGAGATACTGCAAGCAGGGTGATTCATAGATAATTTGAGTGGGGTGAATGTAGAATGGTAGAGGTTTGTTGGAGAGATTCTTAGGTAAGAATTTATAGGACTCAGTGACTGAAAGAAAAGCTTTGGAATTTCTCCAAAACATGAGGTGCTGTCAATTTTTTAAGGTTCCTAGTATAGGCTGAAAATTCTGGGAAATAGTAAACCAATCATGTTGACTCATGATGTTTTTGGGAACTTCGAATTAAGAGATGGCTATGATGCCTGAAGCAGGCATTCAGTACTGTCTCCCTGGGTTTTAGAGTGACTAAAAGGTCAAGACGAGCATTTTAGAAGCCTGTTTCATTATACTTCAAAGGTCAGATTGGAAGTCACAGCACCCCAATGTTTACGCCAGCCCCCTTACCTCAGGTTTCTCATTTATAAATGTGTAGGTTCTATGACTTTGGGCCTTAAGAAATTGACAGCACACCACCTTATGCTGGAAATCTCTGCAACTATTACCACATAAACTGTTATGAGGAAAATGGGGAAACTGTTACTATGAACCATCCTGAAAATTGGAATTCCAGTTTTGACTCACAAAGAAATTTCTCAGGGTTCACCCCAACTGACATGGATGCAAGTTGAAAATTTGAACATAGCTCCTGCACAGAAAATCAAAACACTCCAAAATCATTGATCTGTTTCTTATAAGGTTAAACTCACACTTTAAGTCTTGAAGTTTAATAAGGTTTAGATCTATATAGTCATTACTGTGTTTCTTAATTTATTTGGGTGTCTAAGGGAATTAAAGACCTAAAGGTTGTGTACCAAATACCCACGGAACAGTGTTGAGTTTGGAAGTAAAATTGCTTTAGGAACTCCATCTAGTCTTAGTTATATTTCTAACATTGTGATTTTTAAGGATTATATTTACTTAAAGCAGAATAAGCGAGGAACTAATTTTTTTAAAAAGAAATGGAAATTAATTAGTTTCTTGTTCATTTTGCATTCTACACATTTAGAAATGCGTTAGTAGGCTCCTTCACTATAAGGATTAAATCCAATATTTGCCAATATAAATGATTAAAAAGTCTGTTTACTTTTCCAGGAGTACTTTTAAGACAATATTAAAAACAGAAATGAAAAAGAGAATTTTCTTTCTTCCATAATGTTTATTCCTATAGTTCTTCAGATTCCCTAGCACTGCCGACAGGATTTGGGAGAGACTTGGAGCACACATTCATGGTACTGTCAAAGGTCAGACCGGCAATCTTGATGCGGGTCTCCCGGGTCGCGGCCAACGCAGCCGCCCTGCGGCTGGGCCTTTGTTGTCGGCAGCGGGAGCCCGAGCCGCGCCTCGCCCACGGCCAGCTCTCCAAGGCCGCGCTGGCCGCCCATTCATTCATCGCCCGTGGAGGCGCGGCGCCCCGGGAAGGCCCGCCCGAGGTCCCCGGCTCCTGCGACCCCGCGCCGCCCTCAGCCCCCGCGGGCTCCCCAGCATATCCGGCCCGGGCCTCCGGCCCTTCCCTCGGAGGAGGAGCGGGAGCGCGAAGCGGGTCCCGGCCCACTTCCTGTCCGGAGGGGCGCGCGCGGTGGGCCGAGCACCGCCCCGGACATGCGGGCAGGCGCGGGGCGGGCGCGGAGCGGGGGTCACCAGAGTCGCGCCCGGAAGACCGCAGCGCAGCCGTAGCCTGCCGCGCGACGCCGGCTGCGTGAGGGTTAAGCGGCAGGGGGCGGGGCCGGGCCGCTGCGTTCAGAGAGCCGGCGCGGGCGGGGCGGGGCGGGGGCTGAGGCCCGGCGGCTCGGGGCGGGGGGCGGGGACGGGGGCGGGGCGCAGGAAGGGGGCGGGGCCCGAAGTTGTTCCTCGCAGGGCGGCGGGCCGCGGGCGGCGGGCGGCGCGGGGCCGGCGGGCTGACGGAGCCGGGGCTGGGGAAGTTTGCGCTGCGGCTGGGAGCCAGAGTGCGGGCCCCGCCGGCCGTGCGCGCCCGCTGCCATGGCTTTCCGCAGGAGGACGAAAAGTTACCCGCTCTTCAGCCAGGAGTTCGTCATCCACAACCATGCGGACATCGGCTTCTGCCTGGTGCTGTGCGTCCTCATCGGGCTTATGTTCGAGGTGAGCAGGACTGGGGAGGGCTGCTGGTGCGCCGCGACGCGTTCTCCGGTAGGTCCCCGGGCCTCATACGAGCCGGGACATCTGGTGCCCTGCAGGTTATCAGTGCCTCTGGCTTTGTGCACTGTGACCCTCGGCCTGTCCTCGGGTCAGCCCACACAGCACCTCAGCTCCGCGCCCTGCCCGCGGTGCCATGCTCTAGCGTCCCTTCGGACACCCACCTTATTTCTGCACCTCGCTGCAGCTGCGAAACCCTAGCCTGGTCTCGAACCAGCCGCAGCTCTGCCACGCTGGCCCGACGCGTGGGGCTTCCTTTCTGGCGGCCAGAAGCTAAAGCCCTGAGACTCCAGACTCTAGTCATTGCACAACCCTCCTCCTCCCATGTGGGGGCTACCGGCTCTTCTGAGTTCTTCCAGAGGGCGGGACCCTGGCCTTTCCCATCTCCCTTTTCATTTTCTGGTGGTTTGCATCCTTGTCGCCTCAGGAGCATGCTGCAGGTATTCACGTGTGGCTTCATGCCAGCCTCTGCCATCCTCTTATTTATTTATTTTTATCATGATCTAAAAAGCCAGTTTCGAGAAACCTTTTGTCACTCTATGGACTGTCTGATTAAGTTCAAGTGTGGCCGACCTAGAATTTCATTCCCTTTACTGGGGCGAGGAGAGGGACAGGAACAGTCTTCACTATAGCTGTGGGAACGGGACAGAGGATGGGATCCCTCTTGGACTGCAGTGCAGGCCACAGCACAGGGAGTTCTAGTAGGCCAGGGGTCAGGATCCTAGGGGGCTGCTGTGAAGGACTCCAAACTCCTACAGAGTAAGTGTGCTTATTCGGAAGTTGAAAGAACTGAAGGAGACTGGGACTGAGATTGAGGTGGTCTGTCCTGTTTCGGAGTGAGATGTGTAAGTGGCACTTCTCTTGTCTCCTTGGCTCCTCTCTGCAGGCTCCTTGGCCTTCCTTTAGACAGGTTGTTATCTGTATTCTGGGGGATGTGTTAGGAAGCTGTAACCATTTACAAGCAGCTGTAGAGATGGAGGACTTACAGTGGGGCTTGTTTTTCCTTCCATAATCCTCTGTAACTGGGTTCCTTGTCCTTTCTGGTGGAGCTGCCCTCAAGCTGGAAACATTCTTGTGGCCAGGTTAGGGTTGGATGTGTGCATGTGGGCTTGCCTAGGCTTCAGGATGTGTAGGAAGCAGTCCTGACTTGCTTTTGATGATGCTCCTCCAGTTCTGTGCTTCTCCTCCCCATCGTGGCTTTCTTGTCATGTGTAGGACAAGGTGGTGTCCCACTCTGAAGATATTGATAAAATCTCTTTTCTTCATAGGAAGGTTTTAACTGAGATCATGCCAGCGGGAGAGTCCTGTTTCCTAGCACTGTGCCTGTTCCTTGCCCCTATATCCCTGATAATATTTATCACCACGATAGCTTAATGAAATAACCAAGGATTTGTTTTGCCAGCTAATATTCTTGTGTCTGTTTTCTATCCTTAGTTCTAAGAGGCCCTCCCAGTGCCAGTCTTGGAGGATATGGCTGGAAAGACATACGTTTCAGCCATGAACCTCCTAGAACCTACCAGCTCTAGGACTGACCACGTCTCTTGCATCACTTAGGATTCTGCTGTGTTTTTAGTGTTTGTGGAGGTTTCTGGCTCTACGTGTTTTATCTGTGAAAAGAAAAAAAAAAAACAAAACTGCCTAGCATTTGAGTTTCACACTCCTTCCTTCCCTGACTCTAGTCTGATGGAAAGTCCTGTGTGTTAAACGTGCCAATCTGTGGAATTTGAAAGGTGTTAGGAACTGTTCTGTCCAGTACTGATGGATAAGAAAGGCCCATGGTGAGGAAAAACAAACACAGCTGCTCTCCTTTCTTAGAAATGGACTAGGGAGTGTGGAAAGGGCTACCGTTCCTGCTTCTCTTGCTGTTGTACCTTAGACTTACAGGATATACAGGGCAGGTATCTTCTTGGAAACATAGGGTCATCGCCTATACTGGTCTAGCAAGAAGAAGGCTTTGCCTCCAACCTCCAGTGTGGAGGGCTTGTGTTCTGTGCTGGTAGGTCCCCATTGTCTATCCCTACTCTGAGGAGGTGGGAATTTTATGTGTGTGTATATGTGTGTGTACTGGGCTTGGAACTCTTCTGGTCCTACTGAGTGAGCAGAGCTGTGTGTACAGTGGCACACTTGTAATCACAGCAGTTGGGAGGCTGAGGCAGGAAGATTGCTGTGAATTTATGGCCAGGCTGGATTACATAGTGAGTTCATGACCATAGTGAGACCTTGAAACAAAACCAATGAGAGCAGAAGCATTTGGGACTCGAGGTGAACATCTTCATCTTCAGGAAAGTGGGCCTGGTAAGAGGAGAGAGTGGTGGTGCCTCAGAACTTAGCAGGGTCTTCTGCTTGCCCAGGGCCTTCCGAGTTCTCATGGGGGGTGTGGGCACTTGTGTCATGCATAGGGATGTGTATGGTGGGGAGGAAAGCAGTCCAGAACCTGACAGAGTTTTTCCTAGAAGTGAGGCAGGCCAGCAGACACCTGACTTTTCACATTGGGTCAGGGTGGGTATGTGCCTTCAATGAGAAGCAGAGTAGGAAAAACTCCATTATAGTTCTCCCCCCCAAAAAATGACCTCTCCCCCTTCTTCTGGGGCCCCTGCCCAGCTTCTACCTATGAGCTGGGCCCATGCTGCCTACCAGAACACCCTGGGCAGCCACAGCCCTTCGTGCTCATCTCAGGCCTGCCTTGCTGAGCCTTCAGCAGTGTCCAGGGGGCATTCATTTCCTTGGAGCCCTAGGACTTCAGTTCTCTGTCTTCAGGGAGAGGTGGACTGCAAATTCCTTCCCTTGGGGTCACTTCCTTTTGGGAACACCCAGCTCCCCAACTCCACACACATACAAACACATACGTGCACACACACTTGTGCATGCACACACAGACTCACCCACTTTTGCTTTAGTTTTGGGTCTCTATTTCCAAGGCCAGGTTCTTCTCCCTGAACCCAGGTTTTCTCCTGTTCTGCAGGCTCTTTGGAATAGAGCTGTTCTTTGCAGCCACAGTACTTGGCTAAAAAATGTCAGGAATGTGGAACTTTATTTTCCCCCTCCTTCCTTTCCAGCTTTCTCTTTCTTAACTCTGCTTTTGGAGAAGTGGCTTACAGGGGAGGTTTTTCTTCCACAGTTCAGTCCTTCAGTCCTTCTCCGTCTGGGCGGTGGGCCCTGCAGGGCTCGGGTGTCCAGCTGGGGTGTGTGTGGCTCAGTTAGAAAGCAGCCTTCCCTCCCTTTTCCTTCCAGTGTCCTGTCTTGTGCCACGTTTCCAACTGAAACTGGCAGAAGAGGAAAACTCTTTCATTAGCGGATGAAGCAGGAGGAAAAGGGGGATGCAGGAAGAGGGAGGAAGCAATTTATATACTACCTTTAAAATGTCATTTCAAGACAGAAACTTTTTTTTTTTCTTCTATCTCTGCCCCTGCAGCTGCAGAGAAATGTTACTGAAATTCTGAGACTGGCATTTATAGGTTTGGTTTCTGTTTGGTCTGTGATGCCTTAGAGGTTTGGGAGCCAGGGGAGCTTTTGGGTAGTAGCCACTTGTTGCTTTTTAATTGTTTTAGAGGCAGGTGTGACGGATCTACCCTTTCTCAAGGTTACTTGTCAGGGTAAAATGTTTGCTGCATATCCAACAGGAGCGCATTGCCTACATTGCAGCCTTTAGTGTGTGGGGTTGGCCACCTGGCTCACAATCTCCTGGACAGCCTATGTGTCCTGAGGTATATCTGAAGTGAGGCTCCTCAGGCCTGTCTCTTTTTTTTTTTTACACTTTTTTTTTTTTTTATCGGTACCAGGATCAAACTCAGGACCGCCTGCTTGCAAGGCAGGTGCTTATGCCGCTGAGCTAAATCCCCAGCCCCCAGGCCTGTCTCTTAATGGTAGCATTGTGGAACAATTCTGCTTCTGTTTCCTGGGAAGCATGTAAGTGGCACAGACATGCATCTATGGACATAAGTTGTCTTTCCCTGCCTAAATTCTGATGCATGTTTGAAGAAGTTTCTTTGCCAGTTTTTAAAAAAATTAAGTTTATTGGTACATTTTAGATGTACATACTGATAACACTCATCATAGGGAATTTGTACTTGCATATGAGAGGTCTTGCTGCTGCTTTTTTTCCATTTCCTCTTTCTCTTCAACCCCACTTCCCCTCATTTTTTTTTTTTTCTGAAGTTTATCGGTACATTTTAGGTTCACATAATGATCACATTTATCACACGGAATTTGTACCTGCACATGATATACTTTTTTTGGTGGTTGTTGTCTTTTTGAGATAGGGTTTTGCTATGCAGTTCAGGCTGACCTTGAGTTCTCAGTGATTCTCCTGCCTCAGCCTCCTGAGGGCTGGGATTACAGATGTGTACTTCCATGTCCTGCCTATACCTTGATCCTTTTTTTTTCCCCATTCTTCTCACCTCCCTTCATCCTCTCTTCCCCTCCTTATATACAAAAGCTTTGCTTCCACTTTTTACTTGTAGTCTCTGTTTTTCCTTGTCCCTCCCTACCCCCTCCCTTCCTCTTGTCATTTGGCTATTTTGTTCCTGTTTCGAAATATCTGTTATACATTTTGGTCTTTATTTACACTTTCGGTTTCTCCCATCAGAGAAACAATGTGATATTTACACATGTGTCTTGTTTACTTCACTTAAGGGTATGATTTCAAGGTGCCTCCATTTAGCTAGAAATGGCTCAAGTTTAATCCTTCTTTATGACAGAGTACTACTCCATTATATTTAACAAAAACCCCACATCTTTATCCATCCTTTAGTTAATGTCTTTGCCAGTACTTATAGTTCCTGATTTCGTGCTTCTTGCTCTTTAGCCTGTGACGTAGTTCATGAGTGTTATACAACAATTTGAGCTCACTTCATTCTCTTGGGTTTGGTGTTGGATTCCCTTGTTTGGTGGGTGGTTTTCTACATGCATAGCTCAGTGATTTGAACAACAGAGGAGAAATCTGGAGC